AATTCATTCTGAAGGTCTGTTCTTAACCTGAAACTGTTCTTAACCTGAAGCACCACTTTAGCTAATGGGGCCTCCTGCTGCCGCTGCGCCACCGGAGCACGATTTCTGTTCTCATCCTGAAGCTAAGTTCTTAACCTGAAGCACTATTTCTGGGTTAGCGGAGTCTGTAACCTGAAGCGTATGTAACCCGAGGTACCACTGTATACTGAAAAGGGACCCAAAGGGTCATCTGCCCCCTGCAATGAAGGAATATTTTGCCCAACCACCGGCAAATCAATTCAAGCCAGGAGCTGGCAGGGAGGGGCATTGTCACCCCTCCGACCTCCCGGCAGAGGCATCACTGCTTTTTACCCGGAGGGGCAAGGAGGTTGGTACTGTTCAGGAGCACTGGTGAGACCACCAGTTTGGCTCTGCAGGGGTACTCATGCAGCACCCCCTCCCTGATGCCTCACCCCCCCTTCCTCCCAGAAAGCAACAGCAAAAGAAGCTAAAGGCTTGAAGATTCAGGACAGAGAAAAGCAAGAGCTTCTCCACCAAGTTAAACTGTGGAACTCTCTCCCACTGGAGGCAGCGGATGTCTTTAAAAGAGGATTGAAGAAGGAGGGCTACAAAGCAGAATGGCTATGCTGTGTCTCCGCAGTTGGAGGCAGTGATGCTTCTCAATATCAGTGGCTGGAAACTGCAAGTATTGCCCTTGTGTTCGAATCCTACTTGTAGGCTTCCCTTTGGGGCACCTGGATGTGAGAACAGGATACTGGGCTTAATGGGCCATGGAACTGATCCAGCAGGCTCTTCTTACATTCATAAGTCTACAGGCCTCCCAGCTCTACTGAAAGCCTTCATAGAACAGAGTTGGAAGAGACCATGAGGGTCATCTAGTCCAACCCCAATGAAGGAATTTTTTTGGTCCAGTGCGGGTCTCGAACCCATGACACTGAGCTTAAGGCCCTTATGCTCTACTGGCTGAGCTATCCCAGCTCAGCTTGACTTCTGTGACCGCATTGCATACTTAAAACATTCAACAACAACGAGAAGAAAGGCAGACCCAACGCTGCTCTCCTCGCAGAACACTGTGTCCCAACTATTCTTATCCCTCGCCGTCAAATGGCTGTCGTGAGCAGAAGGTCTTAAGAGATTAAAGTGTGGTCACCGGTGGCCTTTGACTGGAAGGGAAATCCATAAGAGCAAAGCTCTGTGTGTGTTTGGGCGACACGCACCGTAGCCGGGATGCGGGGCGGGCGAGGGTTCGACAAGGACCAGGAACGGAAATCTTGTTAGGCCGCTGACTAGAAACGCTGTTCTGTCATCGATATTTCTTCATTAGGAATAATGATTTTTCCACGTCCTCTGCCAGTGGGTTCCCGGCCGTCCAAAAGCCGGGATGTGCCATGAATCTCTAAAGCGCACTTATCGGAGGGACTCCGAAAGCGGCGAGAATTCAGAAGGCGGTGAGGGAGGGGGGCAGGTTGCATGCACTGCGACGCCGCAGGAACAGCGGTTATTGATGGCACCTGTGGGAGCCCTTGGGTGGATATTTCAGTCTGATGTATTTACATAAGAAAGACGTCCTGGCTCAAAGACGGCGTGTTCTGTTTCTCCAGCTCTCCGTCATGTATCACTCTGCAGCAGCGGAGGGGGCTCTGGGGAGCAGCGGAAGCAGGCGCATGTAACCGTGATGAAGGCATCTCCTTGCAAGCCAAAGAAGCAGGGAGGGATGGCTTTGGCTGCTGCATCATCTCGGAGCGTTCACCCGTTCCTTCCAATGCCTCGCCTGACCTTTTCCTTAAGAACAGTGCTTGTTGTTGTTTGGATGTTTAGTCGTGTCCGACTCTTCGTGACCCCCTGGACCAGAGCACGCCAGGCACTCCTGTCTTCCACTGCCTCCTGCAGTTTGGTCCAACTCATACTGGTAGCTTCAAGAACACTGTCCCACCATCTTGTCCTCTGTCGTCCCCTTCTCCTTGTGCCCTCCATCTTTCCCAACATCAGGGTCTTTTCCAGGGAGTCTTCTTTTCTCATGAGGTGGCCAAAGTCTTGGAGCCTCAGCTTCAGGATCTGTCCTTCCAGTGAGCACTCAGGGCTGATTTCCTTCAGAATGGAGAGGTCTGATCTTCTTGCAGTCCATGGGACTCTCCAGAGTCTCCTCCAGCACCAGAATTCAAAAGCATCCATTCTTCAGCAATCAGCCTTCTTTATGGTCCAGCTCTCACTGGACCAGAACAGTGCTATCATTGATTAAATTGATGTGCCCCCATCCTTCCGAAAATCACAGCGCAGTTTAGAATGTAACAACGTAAGGATACCACGCTGGATCAGGCCACAGGGCCTTCTAGCCCAGCATCCTCTTCTTACAGTGGCAAGCAGAACCGGAGCTGAAAAGAAACTCTTACCTTCCTCTGGTTTCCTGCAAAGCTACTTCCACCCTTCAAAGGAGGTGGAGTTGCGGGCTTCACGCTCCCCCCCCCACGAGATTGGGGGGATTCCCAGCCACATCACCTCCTGGCCAGCCAATCGGCTGGCTCTGGGGGTGTGGACTGCCTTATTTAAAGCAGGACGCGGCAGGGGATCTCCCTCTTTGCCGCTTGCCAGCTGTTCCTGCTTTCCCCACCCTCCCACCCTATAAGGTTTCCGTTCCTTGACCTTGCTATTTACCTTGGTTGGTCGCCATTAAGGGGCCTGGTAGGAATTTTTCCACTTGGCAAATTGGCACCAGCCACTTGGTTTTCGCCTACCTCCTAGCAAATTGTCACAACTTTCTGGGTATTGGCAGTTAGGCATTGGTATTGTTCTGTAGATGGAAGAGGGGAGGTAGCGCCATCACCTACCCCACATATTGAAGGCTAGTCTGCTAAAGGATTCAGGGAGGTGTGGCCCTGTCCGAAGCCTAGGGAGGTGAGGGCCTAAGGCACGCCCCCTATCGGTGACCCCAGGGGAGTTCCTAGTTGATGTGCATCAGCAGGACTCCCCCTACTGGTGGTTAACCCTTCCCGGACTTCAGGTGGACGGGCTGAAGTCGGATATAGTCGGTTAGGACCAATGCCTAAGCCAATACCGCTCAACACCTGTAACCTATAAAAGTTGTGGCCTTATTTAGCCCATTAACCTTAATAATTGTGTCATGTGTCTTTATTTCCACTGGGGGGGGGGGAACTTGCCACGCAAGAGTATCTAAGGCAGGAATGAGGGATGTTTTCTCCCTCCCAGTTAAGAACTGCATTTCTTCTTAGGTAGTAAGAATATAAAAAGAGCCTGCTAGATCAGACCAGCCAGTGATAGCCCTCAATTCCTCCACCCCCTTTCTCTCTCTCATTCTCCTTCACCCCCATTCTTTTCCTGTGTGATGGCCTGGGACTGGGGCTCGGACTCGGAGCCAGAAGAGTCTCAGTCTGCACTGGATCCTTTGCCTCAGGCATCATCTGAACCAAGTCTGGGGCCTGATCCTGAACAGCCCCAGTCTGCACAGGTTCCCCTGCACCACACACCAGCTGGGCTGAGTCAGGGGCCTGATCCTGCCCTGGCTCCAGATGTGGGAATCACCTTGTTGCCTCCAGCTGGGCCATCACTTACAGCTGCTCCACTACCGGTGGGGTCAGGAGAGGCTGAGGCGGCCCCTGGGTCTAGTAACCCATTGACGTCTCCTGAGCTGCGGAGACTCAGGTCTGAGAGACGGAGAGAACTGAGTACTTGCAGGAGGAGTGCTTGCCTTCGGGCAAAACAGGGAGGTGAGTCGCCGGGGGATCAGATCTGGCCACTACCCCGACAAAGATAAAAGCCTGTCAGACCTCGCCCCAGGTTGCAGGATCAACATTGCTGTTCACCAGAACCTGCCTGAGATCCTGCCCCTGTCCTTGCCTGGTTTCCTGCCTCGTGTCCTGCCTTGACCCTGTCGGACTGACTCCTCACGGAACCCTTGGATTTGGGACCGGACTTGGACCGTGTTACTAGGTTTACCCCCGGGCCCAGAACATCCTGCCCAGGGGACGGAAAATCTGTCCTTGCCAGGGGTCTGAACTGACTGTGTGGGGAGTGCTTTGCCCCTCTATCTCACCCCTTTTGGCTTATTTCCCTCCACACACCCCAACCCCCCCCCCCACATTGCCCTCATTCTCTCTCTGCGCAGGATGGGGGTCATGCGAACCTGCTCAAGCCCCAACACTCATCCTGAAAATTCACTGGCCTTTCTGAGTGTCCAAGCCTTCACTGCTGGAACAACTGAGCATCTTTCCTGAAACCAACTTTAGCAAGCATCCTGCGCCGTGAACTTCAGCCCCACCCCACAAACTTAAACCTCTGCAGTTCCCGGAGAGACATGATGCCTGCATCCCCAAATAAATGGTCCTTTTAAAGGGACGAGTTTCCACCCATCTCTCAAGCACAACAGACCCCTTTGGGGGGGCATCCGAAACACAACACCAGGGGGCGGGGGTGGAATCCCCCGTGATGTGAGAGGAAGGAAAGTCTCTGATGGGAGCCAGTGGCCCACCATTTGAGCAGAGGCCGACCCGCCGAATGATCCTTGCTGGCTTTTCGAATGTAATTATTTGGAACAAATTATTTCCATGACTTAATACAATGCCTTGGAGCTCTCCAGTAAGGTTAATTAGATCGCTGCATTCAAAACCTATCTGCTCTCAACCGACTTTTAATATGCTCTGATGCAGCTTTCTAAATTTGACCTAATGATACGATTAGTGGGCGGCTATCTGGCCTGCTACGATTACCGCAGCACTGAATCCCCCAGGGGTCGGGGAAAACATGTTTGATGCAAATTAGAGTCAATGTCGCTGGGCCGTCCCCTCTCTGTTTTCATTTTTTGGCTGACCCCCACCCCTCCTGCACCCTGGGACAATGGGCCTCCGCTGTACAAAACTGTATCATGGGCACGATCAAGTTCATTAGCTCTGGTAGCTAACTAATTTTTATTTTATTTTTTTGCACCATGCACCAATGGCTTGTGGAACTCTCTGCCACCAGAACACAGGAGAGGTTGGAGCACTTACCAAAGTATTCCTGGGAAGGCGGGTTTTCCATGTCGTACAACATCTTCTTGGTCAGGTGTTCCAGCTCATCCTCCGGTCTGAACAAAGGAGCACTTGAGGCAGGGTTGGGACCGCCATGTCCACTCTGGAAGAGGAAAAAGAGGCAAGTTTTGACATTTCCTTTTGGACCAGGGGCATGCTGTTGAGCAAAACCGTCAAGGGACTGACAAATAGGCCCATGGAGGAAAGGTTATTTATTAAACATATGGAAAAGCAGCCAAATGCACGGCGATTTCTTCAAAATATGGCGTCAACTGGAGGCATCTGCAAATAGGCAAGACCTCTGTCCCTCCCCCATCTCTTTCGTTGCAATCAGCTGAAACTGCAACACCATTAAAAAATAAAATAACCCAGTTTGGGATTACACAGGGATCACACAGTAGCCTGACGGTGCTGCAGAATAAATCGCAATCAACGTTGTCACAAAGCCAGTGGAGAGTGAAGGCACTGGTATACGAACTAGCACTGCCCTCACTCTGAATGGGCATTTCCACCTGAAAAAAATTGCCTGGGGGTGGGATGCAGGTATTCACGAGTGGCTGCATGGTCCACTTTTCAGAGGCTCCTGGACCACCACACTGGGACAATCTATTCTGAATTATGGTAATGGGATTTTTCTGAATTTGGCCTCCTTTGCCCCCCAAATCTTCTCTGATTAGACGCAAAAAGAGAGAGACAAAATGTCTGCCTACACCATGGCTTCTTCGTCAGACCCACTCTAATCATTAACGGACTCCATATCTTAAGGGCAATACTTTCAATTATACTAAAACCAGCTGATTTGCATGTTCCCTGAACTCAGGCTCCCCCCTCCCCTGGCCAAAGAGCTCCGCAGTGCTCAGAATGAAAGCAAATCTACATCAATCTAGTCCCAATTTGCATAATGTGACTTTTTCGCATAGTTTGGTACAAAATTGGGTGAGGGAATTGAAAGATTTTTTAAAATAAGAAACCACGGTTTTGCTGTACACAGGCAACATTTTGGGAAATCTCCCCTTCGGCGTTGCTGTTCTTGGATTTTATCGTGATTTAACAACAGCGAAAACATTTCTTTGTGTGCACTTATTACGTTCACCATTTTGGAGCTGAAAGCTTTTCCCCACGCCCAAACTGCACTTGCTTGTAAGTGCGGGTCTCTTCATACTAGCAGCAAACAGATTGTAGACGGTGTGTGAGGTTTTGCATAAAAAAAACTTGACAACTTTGTGATATCCTATCATCATCATCATCATCATCATCATCGCTATCACTGTCACTTCTAAACTGTCCTTCATCCCATGGGATCACAGGGCAGCATATAATAAATAATAATACTAAAAATTTATTTATATCCCACCCTCCCCAGCCCAAGCCGGGCTCAGAGCGGCTAACAACAACAAAAGTAACACAGTTTATATAAAATCAATTCGTTCTAAAATCAATTCGAAATCAAATTAATGGCAACCACTGGGCATGAACCGACATTTGCCCACAATTCCTCTTCACTGCATAAAATGGACCTTATCATGGTCCTATTTGTCCAGGAGAGAAGAGCAGGTCTTCCTACCACCCGGGTCTCCATTACCCCAAGGATCTGAGGGTGCAGGGACTCTCGAGAGGGCCCCCTCTGAAAATCTCAGCAGCTGAGAGGGTCTCTAGGGAATCTCTGAATCTTAAGAGTTGGAAGGGACCCAAACGCTCAATGCAGGAATCTCAGCTAAAACCATCCAACCTCTGCAGTAGGGAGCGGGTGGCACTATGGTCTAAACCACTGAGCCCCTTGGGCTTGTTGATCGGAAGGTTGGCAGTTCGAATCCCCGCAATGGGGTGAGCTCCCGTTGCTCGGTCCCAGCTCCTGAAAATCTAGCAGTTTAAAAGCACGCCAGTGCAAGTAGATAAATAGGTACTGCTCTGGCAGGAAGGTAAACAGTGTTTCTGTGTGCTCTGGTTTCCGTCATGGTGTCCTTTTGCACCAGAAGCGGTTTAGTCCTGCTGGCCACATAACCAGGAAAGCTATCTGTGGACAAACGCCGGCTCCCTCGGCCTGAAAGCGAGATGAGCGCCGCAACCCCAGAGTCGCCTTTGACTGGACTTAACTGTCCAGGAGTCCTTAACCTTTAAAGGTAAAGGTACCCCTGCCCGTACGGGCCAGTCTTGACAGACTCTAGGGTTGTGCGCTCATCTCACTCTGTAGGCCGGGAGCCAGCGCTGTCCGGAGACACTTCCGGGTCACGTGGCCAGCGTGACAAAGCTGCATCTGGCAAGCCAGAGCCAGACACGGAAACGCCGTTTACCTTCCCGCTGGTAAGCGGTCCCTATTTATCTACTTGCACCAGGGGGTGCTTTCGAACTGCTAGGTTGGCAGGCGCTGGGACCGAGCAATGGGAGCGCACCCCGCCGCGGGGATTCGAACCGCCGACCTTTCGATCGGCAAGTCCTAGGTGCTGAGGCTTTTACCCACAGCACCACCCGCGTCCCCCTTTACCTTTACCCTCTGCTTAAAAACTTACAAGTAAGGAGAGTCCACCATCTCCAGAGGGAGACTGTTCCTCTGTTGAACAGCTTTTACTGTCAGAAAGTCCTTCCTAGTGTTTAGTCAGAATCTCCTTTCTTGTAACTTGAAGCCCTTGGTTCGAGTCCTACCCTCCAGAACAGGAGAAAACAAGCTTCCTCCATCATCCATGGGACAGCCCTTCAGATATTTGAAGATGGCTCTCTTATCTCTTCTCACTCTCCTCTTTTCCAGGCTAAACACCCCCAGCTCCTTCAACCGTTCCTCATAAGGCTTGGTTTCCCGACCTTTGATCATCTTGGCTGCACACCTTCCAGCTTAAAAGATAAAAGGAAAGACTTCTCCATGCAGAGCAGAGTTAAACTGTGGAACTCACTCCCACAGGAGGCTGCGATGAAGAGGAAGCCTTTTCGGTATTTGGGGCCTGAGCCGTTTGGGGCTTTAAAAACCAAAATGAGCAGCAGAGATCGCAATAATCCACTCTGGAAGTTCATAAACTCTTACAACTTTGATCTCTTCCATCTCAGCACTTTTGTTAACATTTGGCTTTTGAGATGCCGGTTTTAAGGAGGAATCCACAGGCCAAGGAGACAGTGGCTGCCGCCTCCCCCAAAAGCAATGGTCAGTTTAAGAGATCCTCGAGTTTTCTTCCTCCAATTTGGCTTCCACTTTCCCATGGCTCACTGGGTTTAGCGCCATTCGCTTTCAGCTCGGCCCACCTCGCTCTCTCTTCGAAAAGAGGGGGGCCAGAGGAAGGAGAGGGGGAGGAAGACACCTGAGCAAGTGATAAACACCTTGGGGAAAGTGGCAGCGGCCTTCAGAAACTGCGCCGCAATGAACGCCCCGCGGCTCCGGCAGCGCCAAATACATTCATTTTTTTCCTGTCCATTTGCAAACGATGTTCCAGAGGCTCCTTTCTTGGAAGGAAAATAACTTCAATTATGTGTTCTCAACCAAAGAAACATGGAAATTATCTTCCTTTCAGAAGGTAGAATTAGCTCAATTTAGAACTGAAAAGCTGCCAAAAAAACATCCCTTGCTGATATTTACTTTCCCCCCTTTTTTGTGTGCCCCCCTTTGCCTCCCGCTTCTTCAAATGCGCATCATATTTGCAAGGTTGTTTTTTGAGGAAGATGGCTTTCGGTATTAGTGTGGCTTGGAACAGAACTCAGGATAGTCCAGCCAGTAGAGCGTGGGACTCTTAATCTCAGGAACATGGGTTTGAGCCCCACATTGGGCAAAAGATTCCTGCCTTGCAGGGGGTTGGACTAGATGACCCTCGGGGTCCCTTCCAACTCTGAGGGCCTAAGATTCCATGAAATGGTGTCCCAGGCCCTGCCCTGCATGCTCCCTGCTTTCTACCTGATACACCCAGGTTGCCCTCTTCTCACAGCACCTAGCATGACTCCATACCGGTCCCAGCTGGCTTGGGAGTTTGGAGACGGGCAAGGATAATAATAATAATAATAATAATAATAATAATAATAATAATAATAATATTTTATTTATATCCCGCCCTCCCCCAGCTGAAGCCGGGCTCAGTAAAATAATACAGCATTATAAAATCAATTCATTATAAAATCAGTTCAAATCAAATTGATGGCAACCATTGGGCTCGAGTTCTGTGAAGAAAATTGCCAAAGGAGGGGGTCAGGCTGTGCCTTGGCCAAAGGCCTGGTGGAACAGCTCCGTCTTGCAGGCCCTGTGGAAAGATGTCAAGTCCTGCAGGGCCCTAGTATCTTGGGACAGAGCGTTCCACCAGATCGGGGCCACAGCCGAAAAGGCCCCGGCTCTGGTTGAGGCCAGCCTAACCTTCCTGTGGCCTGCGACCTCCAAGGTGTTCTTGTTTGAAGACCGTAAGGTCCTCCGTGGGACATACCAGGAGAAGGGTCCCATAGGTATGAGGGTCCTAGGCCGTATAGGGCTTTAAATGTTAAAACCAGCACCTTAAACCTGATCCTGTACCCCACCGGGAGCCAGTGCAGATGGTATAGCACTGGGTGAATTTGATCCTGCGGCAAGGACCCCATAAGGAGCCTCACCACGGCATTCTGCACCCGCTGGAGTTTCTGGGTCAGTCTCAAGGGCAGCCCCACGTACAGCGAGTTACAAAAATCCAGGATGCAACTTGGATGGTTTCTGGGACTTGGAAAAGTGGGTGAGAGGAGTCAGGATATAAGGGCAGGTTGTGTTTTGCTAGCCCCCAAATGGAAAATGAGCAAGGTCCCAACCAAAGAAGAATGATGGAATATTCAAATTGATTTAATATTCGAAGCTTGCGGACCTAACATATAGAATAAGAGAACAAGAAGAACGTACCTTTAAAGAAGGTTGGAAAACGTTTGTTGATTATACGGGAGGAAACTGTGTATATTTGAAAACGTGGGCAGCGTTAAGACAAATTCAGCAGTGTAAATAAGCTTGGATGGATGTAATCATGGGATACTGAATGGTTTAGTTTATGTAAAATATGCAGGGATTTATGGCATGCAAATTGAACCATGGAAAGAGAAGAAGGGAAGTCACTGATATTTTAATTTAAATGAATATTCTAAAATGTAAAACAGAAAATTTAATTAAATTAGGGGGGGAAG